TGCTGTGAACAGAGGGTTGTCCTCGCCCAGAGAGCCAGCTCCTGCAGCCCCGTACACATCAGGCATGGACCTGTGCTCCAGCAATGCTGGTGTCTTGCTGTGTGAGCAGGGAGCCTCGTGTCCCCACACCAGTGTCACAGCTTGTAGCATCCAGAGGTGATTAACCAGTGCTGGAGCCTTTCTGTGCCCTGGGCTGCTGGGAGGAGTTGTTCCACCACAGCCCTGGGGCAGCTGTTGGGTGGAAGGTCCCTGTCTGAAGGTCCTGCACTGCTCAGGGCTGGACTTTTATTTTGCAAAGGTCCCTTCCCTGAGGATGGGTACAGTTGGGATGGGTGGAGAGGCAGATCCTGGAGAACAGCAGGCTGAAGAGAGTCGTGTGTGCTGAGAGATAGGTGCTGAAAGGCTCCCGGGAGCTGATAAACTCCAGGATGAGCAGTGCTGTTGAGTCTGCTGAAGCAGATAAACTTGGGACCCCAGGAGTCTGCTGAAGGTTTCTGAGCCCACCAGCACCCTCCAGCATCAGCAACACCAGCGTGACCACGTCTGGGGAGGCAGCAGCTGCTCTGAGTGGGCAGAGGGCAGGATTACACCTGCTGCAGGACAAGATCCTCTGGGCACCCTTCACACTTCTCATGGAAGCCCCAGGGATGTCAGTGTGACTCTGCTCCTCCATCAGCAGCAGGACTTGGTCCCCTGCAGTGTGAGGGACAGGTTATCTCCTTGAGCTCGTTAGCAGCCACGGACTAATGAGTTCATGGGGCGTTGCAGTGTCTGTTGGCTGTGACCCCGTGTGGATCTCTGAGGGAGAGAGCCGGGAAGGGGGCAGATCTGCAGGTTGGGAGGAGTCGTTACGAGTGTTGAGGAGGCAGCTCTTGGCTTGGCTTTGAAACAAAACAAAACAAAACTCCTTTAGAAGTTTACTTTCCCAGCGGTGGGACAGGGGGCAAAGGGGGGCACTGGAGGTGCTGCCCTCTGCTCCATTCACTACACACTCCTGTGGGGTCTCTGTGCCTCATCACGAGCCCTGGGAAGCTCGCAGGGCTGGCTGGGGCTGCCCCAGGGACACGGCTGGACCCGGGGGCTGAGGGAGCCCCGCTGCGATGTTCTGCCTGCAACTGCCTTTTTTCCTCCCCTGAAAGCACCCAGGCTGTCCCTGCCCAGCACGTGCAGGTCTTTGCTTATCCCTTGATTCATTTCAGCCTCCCGAAATGAACTCAGGTTCAGGTTTAGTCCCAATCGGGCTCTTCCCCCTCCTCGCTCAGCCCTAGGGGGTTTCTCTCCTTTCGAAACAACCTCAACGTTTCTGTTTCGCTGTTTCTG